ACATATATTAAACCCAGGCTTTGAGAAATATATATATCGATAATCACAGTGTCTGTTAGAGAAATTGTAATTAGATATTTGCCCAAATTGTTCAGCCCAGCCCTGCATGCAAAAATAACTTAAAAGGCAGTGCAACAAGGGCGATACCAAGAATCACATTAGGAGTATATGGTGCAAATTCTGCAAAAGTGCAAAGTGTGTTTTGGTGTGTATTTACTCTAATCTCATCATGCACATGGATCAGACTGGCTGTGCAGAGACGAAGTGCAATTAAAATGAAACAACGCTGTTCGTTTTTTTTTTTTTTTTTACACAGCTGTTCCTTTCAGGTTTGTCTACCAGTTAAACCAGTTGTCATTTTTTAGATTCTGCGCACTTTTCTCTCCCTCCCAAAACACTTTCCATGCGTGAGAGTGAATAGATAAGAACTTCTCAGGACACGAGGATGACTCTACGCATCGAAGATCAAACTCACCTGTAAATTCACTCTGCACAGATGAGGAGTACATGACAACACTCTACAACATAGTATATAACATTTAGGAAGTAAACATGGGATTAATATAAGAGGCAAATATTAAATTTAAGATTAAAAATAAAAGATGACTGTTTAGAACATTAACATTGAGAATTCACTTAATAAATCTATGTGGTAGTATGTACAAAGAGGTCTTTTACCATAAATAAGTTATCATATGGGCTTACAAACGTTGGGATCCTTTTATGACCTTCACATTCTTTGCATTACATTATAGCTAGGTGTCGATAACTATAACTGCACAACTAGTAAAACAAGTAATCCCGGATAACTAAACCAGATGGTGCAGGAAATCCCCTAAACTTCCTTCCTGCTTGCAGAAAACTACAAACTTCTCCTTTTACTGCTCCATTGAGCCGTTCAGTAGTGTTTGTACTGACTGCAGGCTGTCAGCACAAATTCATAAACTGTAGTTTGATTCTACTGGATGAAAGAAGAAAGAGCACCGACTTTATCTGAGGATTTGATCTTGAATCTGATCGGAATCTGATTTTATTCCAGCGGCTCCGTCACGGGTTCTTGAGTAAGTCAATCGGAATGTACATTTGACTTTGTGATTAGTTACTAGCTGCACACTAGAAAAAGGAAAACCGTTTTGAAGCTGTGAACTGCTTTTCTCGAAGTTTCAACACGTATAGACCCTCGGTGTAGTCTGACCAGTTTCATGCAACACACACTTTGAATAACTGAATGACTCATTATCATTATAGTTTAAAATGGAAACAAAAATATGTATTTTTCTTCTGTTATAGGTTAGAAGCTTCTGTCATATAATCTAACTTGTATTCCCTGCCTTGAGCTCTAGTTTCACTTCCCCTGAGCTATTTCAAAAGTATTGTAAGTTCTGACCGTTAATGTTTAAATACGTCAGGTAAATTTGTACATTAAATATTATTATAGGAGCTTAAGCTTAATATTTAATTTAGTCAGGTAAATGTGCATATTTAAAATCTCTTGTATAGTCTTAACCTTTATATTAAAAGTAGTCCGGTAAATTTCAATAATGTCGTATTAATGAATAATTCAAATTGATATAATGTAACCTTTATATTTTATTGATTCATGTCAATTTGGGGCTGCAAGGTGGAGCGGTGGTTAGCATCGTTGCCTCGCAGCAAGAAGGTCGCCGATTCGCATCCTGATTAGGACACCCAGGATCTTTCTGCATGGAGTTTGCATGTTCTCCCCGTGCAGCGTGGGTTTTCTCCGGGTTCTTTACAGAGATCTAAAATTCACGCTGTCCATATCTGCGGCTGAATTCAGACTTTTTGTAATGTCATGTTTAGATATTTACAATGTTAACACTCTGTTATTATAATATTGGTCAAACATATCCTGAATGGGCTGCAAGATGGCTCAGTGGTTAGCACCATCGCCTCGCAGCAAGAAGATCCCCGGTTCACGTCCCAGTTAGGACACCCGGGATCTCTCTGCATGGAGTTTGCATGTTCTCTCCAGGTTCTCCGGCTTCCTCCCACAGTCCAAAAACATGTTGAGGTTAACTGGTGATTCTAAATTGTCCGTAGGTGTGAATGTGAGTGTCTGTCTCTAAGTGTAGCCCTGTGATAGACTGGTGACCTGAGGATTAAGCGGTGCATAGATAATGGATGGATGTCAATTTTCATATTTAATAATCTTAGCAGTAGTAATCTACTAGTAATTAAAGTAGTTTTCCAAACCCTTATATGTAATATAGTTAGGTAAATTTTTATATTATATAAAAATGGATTTTACTTATCTTACATTTAATATTTAAATTAGTGGGTGAAATTTGCATAAATAATATTTTGGCAGGCTCTGGATGTACATTTTTAATATAGTTAAGTAAAGTTGTATAATAAATACTATTGTAGGGTCTTAACCTAACATTTATTGTATTAATTGTAGGATCTTTGCCTTAAAATTAAATGGATTCATGTTTAATTAATAATTTTGTAGGTTTCTAATGTAATATTTCATTTAGTCGGGTAGATTTGTATAATACTGTAGTTTCCTAGCTGTAATATTTAAATCAGTCAGGTAAATTTGTATAATTCATATACTAATGCTGTGGGGTCTTATGCTAATATTTAATCTTGTTTGCTAAACTCCTCCTGAAAACTACTTTTGCTAAACGTCTGTTCTTGTAATGCTCCACACACACATAACAGTGACTTCACAAGCTAACGCGACGTGCTAACTGCTACTTAGCACTTTGTGGCTTCTTCTCCTCGTTGTTTGCTGACGTGCTCGCAGTGAAAGTGTATTTGTTTTACAGAGAGAAACGTTTGTTGGCAGCGCAGTGGTTTAAATCACTGCCGTGTTGTGGTGTGTTGTTGTGTTACGTTGTGCTACGTTGTGGCGGTAACCGACCTGTTCTGCTGCGGCTCTGGTTCGGTCCGCAGCTCACACACGACAAACTGGAGATATCAAAGAATTCCTCCGCTTTGCAGTCTGAAGGAGCTTTAAAGGGGATGACGAACTGCTGGCAGAGAATCACTTCGACGTGGATTAAAAGATATAATATTAGAGGCACATTGGCTCCGTTAAAGACGAGCGGTAGCGTCCCCGTCGCCATGGTAAACAACGGGCTTCCGGATTACCCACAATCCTTCATGCGGCGTGATGACGTTTCACCAACTTTTGGTTGCGACGCAAAACAAAAAAATAAAAACAAAACCGATCAATTCTTTGTTTATATCTGTAAAAATGTAAATACAAGTGTAAATACAAGATACATTTAAAAAATGATTGTATTTTATATTATATTTTAACAGTCTACAATAAAGCCCAAAATGATTCATACACATGCCAAATTTTTTATTCATAGTGAATTTATATTGGCAAAATAGGTGTCTTCTGAGTAGAATGACAAAAACAAGTGATACAAGACATTATGTTAGAGATGTTAATGATGACTTTTGACTTGCCAAAGAACACTGGCCCGGCGTAAGCAATATAAAATACTCTGTAATAAGAAATGCTGTGATCTGGTGATTAAGTGTTGAAATATAAAATGCTTATTTTAACATTGCAATGAATTAAAGATGATTTCCTGTAGCCATTGAATTAAAGCTGCACAGTTAAAGATGAGAGAAGGTGTGAAAATGTGGTCATGTCTGGACATGTCTTATGAGGCCACTGTCCTCAGGTTGAACTCATTGCTAAAACAGTTAATTGTTCCTCTTTTTCCCGGCGTGTATCTGTGATTGCCAAACTGTGCTCTTTGCTATTACTAAACAAGAACAAAGAAGTCATGATGGGTCAGCAAATTCTACTCAAGATGAGCAGCTGAACCCCTTTCTGTGTTCTGCATGAAGACGTATTATTTTCCTTCCCCAAATGGATGCAAAAGAACTGCAGATCTCATTGGAGTCATGACTTCTCATCTCCCCCTGATTCAGGAGGGTTCTGTCCGGGGATCAGGACTCTGTACTGGGTTGCTGAACCATCGGAAGAGGAATCCTCCAGGCTCAGATCTAAACAGGGCAGAGTTGGCCAGCAAAGGCCGAGCTGTCCGACTCTCTCCCTCCCTAAATTACTTATAGGCTCCTCAGAAGGGCTCGGTTTTATAAACTTTATCTGAAATAATCGATTTTTAATCACGTTTTGATATTGTTTGAGTACATAATCAAGAGCTGTTGCATTGCCCCTGCTATAGGTTTACAATAAATATTAAATCTTGCATTTGTAGATTACTTGGTTGAAATTTTATTGAATTGTTGACAGTATCTGATGGTAGTAAAACGTTAGACAATTGTGTGCATAAGATCTTTTTAGTGGTTCCTAAAGGTTATTCTAAGTCATGAGTAAAACAACATTTTTAAACATATCCCTGGGGTTAGTTTTCCCAAACCTCTAGATTTTAACCAAGCAATTACCAAGTGCTCGATCCATAAGAGGAAAGCTGCCATCAACAAGCGTGTCTGGTAGACTGATTTGACTACTGAGGATACTTAGTTGGGTCAATTATCAGAAGAAGCAGGGTGGACGTTTGGATTAAGGCAGTTAGAAGCCAGGCCAGTTTCCTCAACACCACCTTCAATCGTTTTACAGAATCCTATCAGGTCAAGAACCTGTAGGCAGGTAGAAGTTAACCCTAGAAACAGAGAGCTGGACCAGTGGCCCTGTCACAGGGCTTTACCGGCAGGGATCAACACACTACATCAGTTTTGTTTTTGTTTTGTTTTTTAAAGTTTTACTACAGTAATACAAAGTCCTAAATTATTCACATGCCTCAAAATTGTCCCATATTTTCAGAAAATACATTTCCTATACTAACCCAAGTGGTGTTTATAATTTCTACAATGTTCTAGAGCATTCTAACACACTATAAACTGAGCTGATGTAGTCAGTTATTAGTCCAGTTGCAAGTCATGACTCAAGTTCAGTGTGCTGCCACGGCCAAACATGGCAGTGGTTTACAATTCAGTCTTAAGAACTCTGCCCAGGAAGATGAAACCCATCCACACCTCGCCACAAAAGACCCTAATTTACCCCATTGTGGCAGGGGGGGCACTAACGACTCACATAGCGAGCGGGAGGAGCAACAACCCCCAACTGAAACCGAAACTCAGGTGTTAATGGCTCCTTAAGGATATCTGGAACTCCCAACTAGTCAGAACTGATGAAGCCTCTTGGATGAGAGATGAAACATCTTGAAGAAACTCAATCAAGTCCAGTTGCTACGATTAAACTACGAGAATAACCTGAACCTGGATGACTGAGAATTTTCACAGACAATAAGTGCATTGAAATAAGCAAGATATCCGAGAATGTGACTATAGAAGGATGGGAACATAAATAAATGGTGTCATAGAGTGTATGCTTAAAAGCTGAACGTATACATTTAGTAAACAGGTGAAATCACTGATTAGTTTTTTTTACCCTGTCTAATTCATCAGTCATGCTCCACACACTGTATGAGTCAAAGGGGGTTTTGGCAGGAAATGCTGCAGACACAACAACCCTGCACATGCAGTTTATTCACTCCTACTTCCTTCCAGAAAGTGCAGTGATATATTTTCATAGCCTGCCAGGAACCAAGACCACACAATTTGATCAATCAAGTAAGTCAGATTTTAAAATGTAAATATTTAAGGAAATGAGCTTGAGTAAAAAAATATTATAAAGTGTCCTAAAAGCCTTATATTTCAGGTCGGCTTTCACGTGTTTAGATCTCTAATTGTTAATGTCGTTAAGAAAGAAAGCGTGAGAAAAGAAACGTGAGGCCCTGCTCTTGAGACAAGAGTATCATGTTTGATAAAATGATTGAAGCTTAGTCATTTTCATGCTTCAGATTAGTGACTGAGTTCATGATGCGTTCGTTAGAAGAAGTTTAGATTATGATGATGTAAAAAGTTTTGTCTGCTGTTTTTGTTGTTTTCTGATAGAAGACGCAGCAGGTGAATACCAACCAGCTCATACACATCATTCAATCAACAAACAAATACTGGCAGAAAAGTTATAGTAAGAGAATGAATACCATAAGAAAGCCTATATCATATTAATTCACAGAACTTTTAGTTGATTTGGATCACGCCGACAAATGTCTCTTAAACACGAATAAAAGGAACATTAAAAGTCCTACAGAGAGGTCCCAAATTATTCATCCTCATATCAAATTTAGATTTATACTTTTTTATTACACCAACAAGTTTGGTATGACTGGAAATCACATAAATAAGTGACAAAAGACATCGCGCTAAAGACGGTAATGATGAATTTGAACTATTTCTATTTTGTTGTTGTTTTGGTGTTTTTTTTACATTTTACTAATAAATGATTCATCTCCTTGGGTATCGATGTCAAAGCCTTTATTTGTCAATACATCAATTTAACAATTCTAATAATTGCTAAGAAGATTTGTTTTTTAAATGGTCTTTTCTAGTATGTTTCTGTTGCCCTTTTTTAAAAATAACATTTTACTCTCTTTAAAACATTTCATTGTCTTTTAAGAAATGCTGTATTTCCTTTTTAACATTTTATTGTATTTTTAAAAAATGTTTTATTGCAATTTCTGGGCTTTTATTGTTTTTTTTTTCAAACATTTCACTGTCTCTTCTAATGTGGTATTGCCTTGTAATATTTTACAGTCTTTTAAAAATATGTCTTACTGTCTTTTCTAATGTGTAGTCTTATAATGATTTATAGTATTTTTTTTTAAAACAGCACTTATTGTCTTCCTGCTCTGTAGTCTTATGTTTTATAGTTTTTAAAAATGTTTTATTGCCTTTCTAATGTGTAGTCTTATATTTTTTAGTCTTTAAAAAAAACTGTTATTGTTTTTCTAGTGTAATGTTTTACAGACTTAAAAATGTCTTATTGTCTTTTCTAATGTGCAGCGTGAAGTTTTATAATCATCTTTTCAATGTTTTATTTTTTTTTAATTTAATGAATTCATGACATTACTTTTGAATTGTGGTTCAACAGAAATATTTCAAACAACAACAACAACAACAACAAACAAGCAAACAAGCATGATGGGACCCTTGAAGGAATATTTAGTTGAACAACTCTTTGAGCCAATCACTGCTATCAGGTGTTTTCTGTAACTCTCAGTCAGACTTCTGCACCTGTTGACAGGGATTCTGGCCCACTGCCAATCAGCAAAGTGCTCTAATTTGTCCGGGATAGATTTTTTTGTTTTGTTTTAATTATTCTTTTCAATCACAATTCAAAAGCAACGTCTTATTTCACTAAATTAGAATTTAGCAATTTTTTATTTCTTGTTACTTTTTCCAGTTTCTAGTTATTTGAGTGACTATTGTGAATTTTGCCTTTTCTTTAATGGAGGAATACATTTGAGGACGACTGTATAGGAATAGAGTTAAATAAAGTTAGTGAAAAAAAACAAACAAACAAAAAAAACGCCTAAACGTGGTGTGGCTGTGAGTAAGCCCGCGCTGTGCTGTTGGTTGCAGGAGACACTCCGGTCCAGCAGGGGGCAGTGACACCTCGGAATCACATTTCACTTACAATCAAGGTAAAAGGAGGGAAAAGAGCGCAGAGCGGCGCAGAGCGCGGAGGGAGCCGACCGAGGAGGAACTCAGCTGGAGGCGTGAACTTCAGACGGCACTAGAAACGCTTTTAAACTCACATGTTAACCAGTAACTGCTGTTCCCAGCCGTGGTGAGTATTTTTCTGCTTGTTTCTGAGGCAGAAAACTAGTTTTTCTACATTTTACAGCTCTTTCACTTTCTCTTTACGGCATGACGCACGTGCTTTTTTTCCTTTTTTTTCTTTCACACTCCTGGCGCAGAACTCAGGCTGTTTCTCCTTTTTTCCCCCCACTAGTGTTGTCTTCATTTTCAGACCTGATGTGTGAAAATGACTGTAATCCTGCGACTCGAAGGCCTGGATGTGGAGGCAGGCGCCGAACACATTCGAGCTTTTTTCAAGGAGCTCCACATACCTGATGGTGGAGTGTATATAATCGGAGGACGGCTCAGAGAGGCTTTTATCGCCTTCGGCTCGGAGAGGGATGCCCAGCTCGCCATGAGACGCACCGGGAACCTGCTCAAAGGCTCGGAGGTGACTCTGTATGTCAGCAGCATGGCCGAGCTGGAGCGCAGGCTGGAGTCGCTGTTCAGGAAGAAGAAGAAAAGCTCCCAGCTCACCGTGCAGAGACCTGCGGCGAAACCGTCAACTTTGAGCGCCCCTGAGGACCTCACTGTTAACCCTCCATCTTCCCCTGTGTGGCCACAAGACCCCGACACTGCAAATCTGCCACTTTTAAGCACGCCGCAGCAGCCGGTCGCTCAAAATCTGGACTCCGGCACGGCTTTTCTTCTCGGGATCTGCACCGTCCTTCAGGGTCTGCAGTCGTCCCCGCAAGTTGAACTTAATAACACAGCCGATTCTCCTAAAGCTGCCGTGCTCGACAATTCACCAGAACAGACTCTGGACTCAAGGCCGGGCTACGTCAGGCTCTTCGGTCTGCCGGCCTCGACCACAAAAGAGGACATCTGCCGGTTTTTCACAGGGCTGACGGTGCAGGAGGCCATCGTTAACGTGCAGCTGGGAGTCAATCACGGCTGCCTTGTGAAATTCGCAAACATGCAGGATGCGCGCGACGCTCTTGACTTCAACCAGCAGCTTCTGGGCCACATCTGCGTGGAGGTTCGTGGGGCGACGGAGAAGATGTGGAACGGCGCGCTGCAGGAATGTGAACTCGCTTTAAAGGGTGGGGAGAGACTGAAACCGGAGAAAAAACCTCAGAAGGAAAACCACAAGCAAAAATCTTCACTCCCGATTAAGAAGCGAGCAGTCAACCAACTTCCATCTGAACCACCGAAAAAACCCAAGCTCACCGCAGCCTCCACGCCTCCTTCATCTCCACCGGGGGACCACACCATCATTGTCAGCAAACTGCCCAAAGACATGAACAAGACGGAAATAAAAATACTGTTCGGCTGTCCAAACCTCTCCAACAAAAAAGTGCTCCATCTGCTTGACAAAAAAGGCAACACAACGGACACAGCTTTTGTCACTTTTGACCGAACAGCAGATTACGAATATGCACTTAATCTGTCGGGCTGCCATGTGGGCACCAGCGCCATCGAGGTCTCGTCGATCAGTAAACAGAAGATGGCTGAGAAGTTGGCCACGACTCGCGCTCTGACTCGTCTGAAGACCGGCTGGAAACCAAAACAGAAACTGGGTTCGGCTGAGAAGAGGTCGAAACAAGCGGCTCAGACGTGCCTATTTGTCAGAAACCTTCCAGCACACGTACAGGCAAGTCACATAAATGGGCTTTTCCGCAAATACAAGCTGAACAAGGACAGTGTCGTGGTGCTGCGCGATGGCGACGGAAACGGCCTGGGTGAAGCTGTGGTTCAGTTTGAGTCGGAGGCGGTCGCCACTCTGGCCCACAGGATGCACGGGAAAACATTCCTGGGAACAAAACTGCTTTTTACTCGCATAAGTGAGAAGCAGATGGAGGAGATCCTGACGAAACACGTTTAGGGGAACACAAACAAACCTAACGCTGATATAAAGTCTTTGTTGTCCCGTCAGTTTTGTTGGTCGACCGCTGTTCTGCCTGAATCAGTTTCTGCTTGTCCAATCATTTTATCGATAATCACCGGCCATGTCTTCATTTTCGCTTCATGTACGTTCCATTCAGATCAAAATAAAGATTGTTTAATTATGGTTTTGGTGCATTTATTGACCCAGGAGGACGTCAAGCTGAAAAATCCCAGTGATTGTGGCTCCATCAAGCTACGAATCAGCCGAAGAAGTCAGGGGAGCTGGTGTCTTTGTTCCCAGTCAGACGGTGTTGTCGTCTTTGCTTGGAATGAGCTGACTTCATAACTTGGCCTTGCTCCAGCATCATGACTGATGACTTTTCACCTATTTTTGCATTTTTACGATGCTGTAAGACACTCCTTGCTTCAGCCGTTTCATCTTGAAGCCCTGAATTCATGCTGCAGCATGTCTCGGCCTGGACACTCATAAAAGATTTCAGTGAGCCTTTATCTTGGTTAAACAATAACCTCGTCTAAACAAGATGTACTTTGAAACTTAGGACAGAAAACAAGGAATCAGTGTTGGCTACAGAACCAGGAAGACGAGTTTTGTAGCTGGGATTCACCAAGTTATTTGTCTAAACTTGCTCTACAAGGAGGCTGAACAATTTCTACAACCGTCCACAACACAAAACCTGGAGGACAGGTTTTCTTTTTTAAAGGAAATACCTGAATGAATGCATTTCACAGTTCAAACATCATTTTCTTCATGAGTTTTATTAAATCTGGGAAACCAACAACAGTCATACACTAAAATGATCAGTTAAAGCTGTTGAAAACATGCATTTTGTGTAAAATGTTCCAGGTTAGAAATGTTCCCGTCTTCTCAAGAAGTCCAAAACATGTTTAAAAAAAATTAAACAAACAAACAAAAATAATACTACCTGGTGGCAACAGGAAAAATAAAACAGGCGTTGAAAAATATCAAAAAATTACACAAAACCTAAGTTTCCTAACTCCTGGACCGTGATCGACGGACGCATGGGACAGAACGAGGAGGATCGAGGTGTCGCATCTTCTGATTGTCATTTGTAAAATCTGGTCGGACCATCGGAGTACCTGGATGGACCTGCAGCAACACACAACGACAAATGCATCAAACAGATTGCAGACAGATGATTGACTCACATTTTCACTTCTATGTGCCTTCAGTTTAAAAAAAAAAAAACGGCAGTGATTGACACACATTTGAGTCGTGGCAACATCAAAACTTCAGAAGACCAGACGCTCGTCTCATTTCTCTATTTTGAGGCTCTTTGTCCTCCTACTTGTGACGTGGAAATCAAAACAATCAAAGACGTCTCCATTCCTAAAAATGCATCTCGAGAAGCAAGGATGCATTTCGACTTTTTGCCACCCGTGACGTAAAAAAAACAAGGTTAAACATGACTGAAATAAACAAACTGTGGTAGCACCGTGACTGGCAAAGGTATGTATATAATAGTATTACTACTAATAAGATTTATTTGTATAGCACCTTTCAAAACTGGAGTTAAAAGTGCTTTCAGTCAGGCCTGCCGCTTTAGCTCACCTGGTTGAGCTGGTGACCGATGTACAGGGGCTATAGTCCCCAACGCAGCAGCCATGGGTTTGAATCCCACTCATGGCCCTCTGCTACCCCATTCTCCTCCCCCACTTTCCTGTCTCTCTTTCAACTGTCCTATCCAATAAAGGCAAAAAGGCCAAAAAAAAGTGCTTTCAGTCAATCAGCGTTGGTGATCATTGCTCTCCATCTTATCCGATCTTTTGCTGTCTGAATTGTGTCTGTTGCCTGTCCCATGTGTAGCCATGAACGGGCTTAACAAAACATTAAAGTATACAAAGCTTTAGAAAACAATAAAACAGTGACATGAACATTAACAGAGCATTAGAGAAGGAATTAATTAGTATCTTAGTCTGTCACGCATCAAGGCTCTTGCACTGCACGTGTACGTGCTGCAACTAACAATTATTTCAATCGTCAAATAATCTATTGAACGTTTTCTCGATTAACTGATTAGCTGTTTGGCGTATTAATTAATGGTGATAAATGTCTTGTTTTGTCCACAGCCCAAACACACTCAGTATACCTTCATAAAGGAGGGAAGAAAATATTCACATTTCAAAAGCTGTAATCAGAGAATTTACCCTTTTATTACCTGAAAAGATTATTCTAATTGATAATCTGAGGAGTTGGCAATTAATTTTTGTCACTGCAACTCTGGTGTAAAATAATAATAATGTGAATTAAAAATAAATATAAGCTGTAAGTTGTCACTAATATTGCTCTACTCATCTAAAAGAGATCATAAAACACAGCATCATGCTGTAACAAATTGACGGACAGTGCAGATGTGCCACGTTATATTCAAATGACTTCAAAACGAGGTAGAAGACATTTTGTTGAACACCTGCTGTCTCGACTCCTTGGCTCACATCTGTGGTTCAGAGTTGAGTGAAGAAACTGAGAAATGAGAAGCTTTCGCCGTCTTACCTGAGGGATTACTTGAATATCGGTCGTTACTGCTTGGCAATCTGGAGGGTGTGGAGGAGAAGCTTGTGGTACTTGTTGACATGCTGTTCGCACTAGAACCCTGAGGGGATTAAAAAAAAATAAAATGAAACCACAAAATGCATGTTTCAATCAATTTAACTGAGGATCACTGAAAAAAAAATGGTTTTGCTGATATTAAATCTTCAAAATTAGACAGAAAAGTGTTGAACTCTAAACAACTGATACTATGTGCAAAACAAACTAATATAATAATAAAGTTAATTAAGCTACAGCATCACCAGGATTAACTCTTTGAACCCCCAAACCCCTCCATTGGGCTTAAAATACATTTGATCTTTTAAAGAAATGCCTAAATGACACCACTTGGCTTAAAAAGAATATATGACAATTAAAACAATTGTCAGATTTTTTAGTTCCTGACTGCTTAAACTAATGTGTCAGATGGTTTTGTCAGAAAAAAAATCTAATATCCTTGGCCTAAATTAAGCTTAAAATTGTCTCAATGCATCAAGATCAATTTATTCTAAATTAAAAACATTAAAATAAACATCCTGTAAAAAAACAAAAATTGTGATCAACAGTCACTTATGAAATATTCAGATGTTTCGGCTGAATTGCAGGCTGCGTTTACACATAGCAGAGAGGAAAATAAACCACACGGATCAATAGAAGAAATGCAGCATGGCTCAAAAATGGCATGCAGAGCGAGCTGTTAGGAGACACATTCAGCATGGGGAACCACCTCTCGAGTTATGCAGAGCAGAGTGAAAAGTCTGTAGAGATTGCATAAATAGAATTAGTAAAATACCTATATTACATAAAGCCAAAGTTTATGAATTTGCTATACTACAGAGAAGACTTTGTGCTGTTTCTGTAGAGGTGCAGGACTTTATATTGCAGTGAAAAATGAGCGTGGAGTGAGGAGAAACTGCTTGGGTTTCAGTGCAGTAAGGATTGATCTTTAACTTTTGGTTTGAGATGCTTTGGATGACTTGAGAACAGGATTATTTGCAGTACATTTAGTAAAAACAAGCTCCATACCGTGAATACGCTCCTCAGTCTGTACTCCATCAGCACATCTGTTAGTTTCTGCGTCACCTTCAGCACCAATTGCGCATCGTTCTCGTTTTCTATCCGGAAGGAATCCTAAAAACAGATTTGACAAAATTACTGTATGTCTGAAGACTAGGGCTGGTCAGAATAGCAATTACTGGTCTCCGGATATTCGCCCCATTTGTTGACGAATATCCAAATATCCGGTCGCGGGGTGTGGTGGCGGCGAGTGAGTATTCGTTCCGGGGGGAGGGGCAATATTCGGGGATCAAAATTACTACCCGGATACCAGTACAACGACCGAATATTCGGATATTCAGTTATTCGGGTCCAGCCCTACTGAAGACAAAGATGAGCTATTTAAAAACTAAAGTGAATGTCTGCCATTGTTTTAAGGGAAACCCACCAGGTATGTGAGCAGAGTATGAGGAAGGCTGCTGGATTCTGGAGCTGCTCCCATTAATCCTGGCCTGTTCACAGGTTTGTCCATTGGTCTGTCCATGGGTCTGTCCATGGGTCTGTCCATGGGTCTGTCCA